GTGCGCACGGAGCCCCATACCTCCCGCCAAGTTCAACCCAAAGCTTAATCCCTGCCGTGCGGACCCTTTGCCTCGAATCCATGCCGAACCTAGATCCCGAAGCAGCATCCGTTGAGATTCCATCTACAAAGCGCCGGGGCCTTAATCGGAAGAAATTAGGCTAGTTCGAAATCAGAGGCCGCTGCAGAGGGTCTTACACTTGTGCCATGTTGGGTGTTGCTCACCTCAGATTCTGGTAGAACAAGTACCCCCTAAAAACACCTCAATTTTGATCAGCCCGCATGACGATCTTGAGTTTGCATCCAACCATGCTGTTGTGCCGTCTTCTTGTGTGGTCCCCACCTAGGTTTGGGGTCGTCCACCTTTTGCGAATCCTAATGTGAGTGTCCATGCACGGCAAGAATCCCTCAGTGTTTTCTCAGTCCCTCTGTGTCCCAGTAACCCTGCTTTAAGGTTCAAAGAGCTCGAAGGTGCCAGGAGCTGTAAAGCTCATCGTTAGTTGCAACCTTTCAGTATCAGCTTCGCTTTGAATTCCGTCAACAAAAGCTCTCCGAACTCTTGTGATCGGGTCGAGGTCCCTTGAGGTCTTCGAGTTCAGGTGACTTTTGAGTTTTGGGTTCAAGGTCAGTGCTGAATGGCTGAAGTCTGAATCCTACACCTTGTGGCGTCGGGAAAGGTCGCTCGCTTATGCAGGATCTCGGGTTTGTCATATGTGATGCTTTGGCCACTGTCAAGGTGCTCCAAAAGCAACAGAATGAGCCGACTCTGCAGAACGAGCCACAACTGGAAGAGGCGATCGCAGGCCCCCTGGTTAGCTAACTCATGTACAGTGCAGCACAACCCCCACCCGACTCCAATCACAAGCTTTGGGGTCGGTTTTGAGGGACCCTAAGCGCCAGCCCGAAATCCTTAAACCCCGCAGGGCCCGAACACGTCGGGAGCTCCCCCAAAAACTGAAATTGACGTGAACTTCGCTCAGTTGTTTTGCTTTGAAGTTGCAGGACCGTCAGACTGTTTTTGGGGTGTTAAGGGCCTGAGTGTACTTGAATGTGTATAATTCGGGTATCCTGCAGGTACTTGCGGGGAGGGACGGGAGTCGGGGGTGCGTGGGTGAGGGTCCAGGTATAGGTCCAGGACTCTAGGACAGAGTTCCGAACAGCTGTCAGTTGAAAGAGTAAGGTTGAGTGGACCTTCTCCCTCAACCCTGCGACCCTGAACCCTGAATCTAAACCTGGGGACCCGCAATCGCCGGACTTCCTCATCATTCCCGAACTCGAACTAGCACATCTGAGCCACAGTCGAAGATCTCAACTGCAGAAGTTCCTATACAGGCTACGGCGTGCTGCGCTTTGGGGGTGCAGGGTTGCGGCATCTTATTCAAGCTTGGGTTGGAGATGGCTGATTTTAAAGCGTTGTGGGGCAAAGGGATCCTAGTTGTTTCAATGGGAAGTACTACTATAACAAGTTCATAAGGAGTTTATTGCATAGGGCATGTGAGTAATTTTGGGAACAGGTCTTGTGTTCAACTGCCAGATGCTTCAAGCTTCGGCTATGGCTCACTGAGTCACCAGGACCTTTTCCAGAATTGAGCGCGGCGGCGAGTGAAAAGTGAGCCCGTGGTCCAGTGTGCTGTGAAGTCTGGACATGACGAGGTGCCCTGTAAGCTCGAAGCCCTTGAAGCTTCGACGCCAGCTTGGCCACATGGAGCTGGTGTGCTTTGCCAAGCCTCCGGCTCAAGGGTGCCGAAGTCCGCTGCCACCATGGCTGCATCTTTCGGCAAGCTTCAGGCGTGGCAGTTGCGGTAGGCGGCATCTTGTAAGGTGGCCATAGCTTCCGTGTTGTAGGAGATGGGACTGGCTGTGAAACAGTCGTCATCGCCTCAGACGTGGCACTAGCACTAGTTGGGAAGCTCGCCGCACGCGGGTTGGAATGCTTGCTTTGGAGTGCTTACTGGATATCTTGTTGGCTGAAGTGCTTGTAGGAATTCATGTGATGGGCATGCTGGTTGGATTTCGCAGAATACTTGAGGCTTTGTCAGTGGAAATGTAGTTGGAATGTGTGCCGAATCCTTGTATTACATGCTTAATGCTTGTTGAAAGGCTTGCTGGAATCCGTGCTTCTACGTGGTCGTTGAAATGCTTGCTGAAATCTCTGATGAGCTCTGGCTGGCTCGCCTGTCAAAGCTGGTTGGCATGCTTCTGAGCAGTGCTTGCTAAATGTGTGCTGGAAGGTATGTTGGAATCTTTGCTGGAAGTTTGTTGTCGTGCTCGTCGAGTGCTTGCTACATGCTGTGCTCAGAGCTTGTTGGAGACGGTGCACTCGTGTAACACCGTTGCTGCATGAGTTGCTTGTTCAATGCTTGTTGCAATCCGTCCTAAGTGCCTGTTGGTTTGCACTCGGGGTGCGTGCTGGAGTTTTCGTTTGCTTGTTGTAGAGTAGAGCCTTGTGTATCGCTGATGGAGTGCAGTCGGAGTTCTTCTTGCAATGCTTGTTGGGATGCCTGTTGGGGCACCTGCTGGAATGCTTGTTGGGATGCTAGTTCCGTGATTGATGCCTCTTGGTTTGCACGCGGAATGCTTGTCGGAATGTGGGCTGGACTGTGGCTTGAAATTGAGGGCCGTCGAGCCAGTGCTTCAAGCTTCCGGGGTTTGTGAGTCTTGCTGGAGAACTTGCTGAATGCTTGTTGGATGTAGATTGGGATACCGACGAGTATGTTTCGGCGAACGTCCGAGTTCGCCCTGCTGTTTTGCAGCATCTTTGTGCCCAGGAGTCCCATGCTGCTCTTCCGCCCTTTCTTCAGTCAGGAGGCACGTAGCCTATTCGGGTTAAGCAAGTCTTGAAGTCTTCGTAGGTGCGTGCATGAAGCTCTGTGTCTCACTCTGCAGTGTGCCCGACATGAAATGCAGCGTTCAAGGGCAAACAGAGTGTCTCAGAGGGTTGTTCTCCGGCACAAGGCAAATGCGCAGGGCAATGACTCGGACGAAGACGGGTTCCCTGCGGTTTGTCGTTCTTGAGCTCGGTAGCTGCGTGAGTGTGGTCTAGCATGCCATGTAGCCTATGACAGATCTCGAAACACTCTGCCAAAGGCAATGGGCGGTTTGCACAGATCTCATTCCATCGTATCTTGTGCAAGCACAGTCGCCACCCATACTTGCAGCATTCTTACCGGAGTACCTGTGATGCATGTGCACGAACCGGTGTGTATTGCCTTGATGTGATATCTCGTTATAGCTCCCTGCTACTGCGACGAGGACCTAGCCGATGCTCAGGCATCACCTCCTTCGAAGCAGGCACTTTGCCCTGCAGCAGATTAGTTTGCTCTATCCATGACTCCGGTTGCATGGTTGCTCTTGTGCTCCGCTGGTAGGCTTTGTCGCCATCTTCGACGCAGGCAAAGCTGGAAAGTTCTCGACTCCACTGGTAGTTCTGCTAGTTCAGCAGGCGCAGTTCTGCTAGTTCAGCAGGCACAGGCATGAAGACTTGCGGCAGGTAGTTCAAGCGGCAGATGAGCACGAGGCGAGTCTGACCCAATCGCAGAGCCTGCACCTGGTCTGTCCAAGACGAGGTAAAGATCCGCGAGCCCGGTGAGGTTGGAGTGAAGGCGCCGTTTCGCAGCTCGTAAGATGAAGCCAATGAACGGTTCGTGTCGTGAACAGCGCTTCCTACCTTTCGCAGGCTGACCACGAGAAAGAGGACCAGCTGGAGGCACAATGCGAGACTGTAGAGGCTGAGTTCGAGCACAAGATGTTGCCGAGATCGAACGGCGACGTGCTCGGCAGATGTTCCTGGAAGCCCTCTCTGCCGGATGCTCGGATTTTTTCGACGTGTATTTGCCTGATTTTTGACATGGGCTTTGGCTGAGGCCGCGGAAAGCCTCGCGCAGAGCGGCACGCGGCAGGACGGGTGGTCGGCACTGCGCCTGGTACCAGAGCGATCCTGACGCCATCATGGCCCCTCAGGCAGATCGACGCCTCGGCGGGTGCTGATTGGCATTAGCCGGGTCCCACTCCTGTAGAATAAGAGTTCACACGAGATTTTATGACGCAAGCAAGCGTCCGTTCCCCCGAGGGCACCTCTCAGTCCCGGATGGGGTTTTCTCGAGGCTGAGAGGCGACTGTTTCGGGCACCCCCGGCAAAACACGATTCCACCCTTGAGCCAACTTGCCCTACATCTACCTGTAAAATGTAGCTTTCTTGCACATGTCAGATGCAGATCAATTCTGGTTGGGCTCATCGCTTGAAGATTGGAGGCTTGGATGTCGCCGACACCGGCGGCATGTATAGGGTTGATGCCGCTGCTTCATCATCCGCAGCATGGCTCGAGCCATAAGTTATAGCCTCATACGCCAGGGTATTGTGCGCAAACAGAAGAGGTGGGCTGAGGCTTGTTTTGCGGACTGCAGAGTTCCGCTGTGCAGCACCGGGCCTTTCCCAGCTCTATGCCATGATCAAGATGACAGTTTCTGAGAGTCTGCTACATGAAAATAAACTCGTTTCACAAGTTGCTCCCAAATACTGGTGTGGTGCTTCCGAAAAGACTTTCGCCGGCATGTGCACGCAGTCCCTCTTCCAGCAACCTCGAATGCACGTGATTTTAGCGTGCATGATTAAAGTTCGTTTTCAGCCTCGCATCCGGAATATCCACAACTCCTGAACGACCCAAAACCCTGAGTCCCAAATCCAACAAACTTGGGTTTAGGGTTGAGGCTTCAGGTTAAAGGTTCTGGGCGGTTGAGTGGTTTGAGTTTCTGGTTTGAGGTGAGGCTTCAGGTTTCTGTTCGGTTTTTCTGGTTGGGTTTTTGAGGTTCTGGGGTTCTAGACTGCTGGAGTCCCAGAGGTTTCTGGGGGGTTCTTTAAGAGTTCGGTCCCTGTCTTAGTGCCGATTGTTTTTGTGTGGTCCGCTTTCAATTGCTGCATGCGCTGAGACCGTGCCCTCATCAACTACCGCACAGAACAGCGACAATGGTTCAACTGCCTTTTGCGCACACTTCTCGCCAGGGATGGCGCCGCGACTCCGCGTTGCAGTCCAAAGACATGATCGGAGTTTACGGTCTATGAGGCCTTCAGGGTTCCGGGTTCGTTGTTCGCTCACGGTTGTTCGCTGACGGGCCACATTCGGTGGGCAGCTGTGCTGCATCTTTGAGCACTGGAGTCTCTGTGGCCCCCACGCCAGATTGCACGGCCACCGGTGGAACTGCCGTGAAAATCTTGCAAAGACGGTCCGGCGCCCAACTCTAAGCGTGGGAATGTGCTGTCTCCATGCACAGAAACGACGGGAAGTTGCGAGTTTCAGGGTCTTCGGGGTCAGTTTCGGTGTTCAGTTTCGGGGCTGAGTTTCGGATCGGGCCCGGGTCAGTTTCGGATCGGCTGCGGGTCAGTTTCGGATCGGGCAAAAGTCAGTTTCGGATCGGACGGAGGTCAGTTTCGGATCCCCCCCTTATTGCGGCCAGGGCGACGATGCGACCGAGGCCCGAGCCCGCTTCGAGGCGCCGCCGAAGGGAGGTTTAGGTAAAGCACATTTGCAGCAATGCTCCTTCAGCGAGAGGGCGTGGACAAGAGAAAGGATGCAGGCTTTACCGGTGGCCTCGGTGATGTGCCTCGCAGGCACTGCGGCAGGAGAGGTGCGATCAGGTGGAGACTCGGACATATCGAAAGCTTGAGCAGCACTGCCTCGTCGCCTTGACATGGACTTCACTGCCTGAAAGAGTCCTCGTGAGACGGGAAGTGGCTTCCCCCACATCCAAGGAACAAGGCATGCCGCTGTCGGAGCCCCGTGCAGATGGCGTTTTGGGAGAGAGCCTTTGCCGCTCCTGCTGTCTGCTCGCGCAGATGCCGAGGTGCACTTTGCCCCTGGATGTCAGTGTAACCTGGCCCTGAAAGCACTGTGAGAGTTTTCCGGCATTCGGTCATGAAGCGCGACAAAGTCCACCTTTGATTGGCTCAGCTGTCGACTGAGGTCAAGAACGTGGCGGCACGTCTCTTGTCTTCCAAAATCAGTCGGCCAGAGGGGGTCATGGGTAATCCGTATAAGGAGTGAATCAAAGAGGTGGAGAGTGGGTCCAAAACGCCCGGAAGTGTCCTAAAGTCCGAAAGAAGACTGAAGAGGAGAAGGTGAAGAAACGTTGATGTTGTCAGGGGCTGTGGCTTGCATGCCATTCGCTTTGACTTCGCGACTGGCGACGTCTTCAAGCCTAACTCCAAGTCGTCCGGAACTCTGGCCTTCTGAAGTTGATACAGCTTGGGCCCAGAGAGACGTATCCGCATGTCGTGAGGCAGGGGCCTCACTACTGGATACTTGTTCAAGGCTCGCCTCAGCCTTCAGTGCACGGCCCCAGCTTGGCCCCTGCCAGGAACGATGAACCTCATGATGGGAAGCCGCCACATCATGCCCCGCAGCAGCAGAAGCAGCTCACGGTTCGATTTAACTCGCTAGTCGTTGCCCCTTTGTTACAGGCTTCCGCGAGTGGTTGATCAAACTGACTCGGGGGATCTCGATTTTCCGATTCGAGCTTCGGCGGCGGTTGATCCACGAGAACGTCTTGACTGTGTCAAAGCCTCGTGCATCCGAGCCCCTGCAGCACCTTACAGCCCAAACCTTGCATTTAAATGGGAGTGAGGCTCTTCAGCGCTGGCCCAGTGAGCCCTCTGATCCCAGAGCATGTCGCACAGGACTCGGGTTCAGGGCTGCTAGGGTTGAGGGGTACCTCTGTGGTTCAAGTTTTCGAAGCGGCTTCTCAGGATTTCGGCGCGACGCTGCATGCGGCGACGCCCTGCGAGGTGGGGCGTGGTGCTCGTGGTGCTCTGCTCTCTGCTTCGACGCTCTCTCTTCGTCTAGAGGCCTATCGCGTCGGCCGAGCGTGCCTCGCCGCGAAGCCGCGAAGCACTCTCTCAACTCCGGCTCCTGAGCCGGACTCATGTCGACTCGTGTCCCTTTGTGGAGGAAGTGGTACAAGCACTTCGAGAAGTTGCTCGAGGAGGTCCAGGCCAGGGCCGAAGACGAAAGCTGTTGCGAGGCTGGTGCGCCGAGCTCTCCCTCTCTCTCTCTCTCTGTCTGTGTCCAGGTGAAGGTGCGACTGAAGCTACAGAGAGCCCGCTCCATACAGACCATGAAGCTTAAGAAGTCCCGTTGCTTCGGGAGGGTTGACGCGGGACGGCACCCTGACATCCCGCCGGGCATCGAAAACAAGAGTCGGGCTCAGCCCTTTTGCAACGTGAATGCCGCGGGGCGCAACAGCTATGGTTTCAAGCATACTTAATGAGCAATGGTAATGTAGGAGCCTGATTAAGAAACTCTGGGCCTATACCCCCCAAACAGTAGGATTCGGAGCCCGAATAAAGGCCCAAGGTTTCTGAATCAGGTTCCTACATTAGTTGGTGCCAGAGAAGAAGCAGTAGGGAAGGCCCGGAGTCGGGCCAAAGATCTATGTTGCAGCCCGGCCGAGGCCCATTCCAGTCACGGGTGCCCCCGTCTTGGGCCCTGCGGATTTGGGGTTTGGGGTTTAGGGTTTAGGAACGTCCTTCATCATCGCGACCACGGTGATGTTATGTAATTATGCCTGCGCTCTGTCTACCATGTCGCTGGCACCACAGCTGTTTGCCTGGCCGGCCTCAAGTGCAGCCCCAGAATCCGAAGCACCACTTCACCATCCATTAGCTTGCGCATGGTAGATGTCATTATTCTCATGGTTACCATCGGCGAGAGCAGTGTCACCACAACCCCCTGTCCCTACCTGTCTTTCTAGTTTCACGAGCTGGGATCGTTTTTTTGGAGAACCTAAGGTTTAGGGTTTCAGGTTCAGGGTAACCTACTCCAGAGCAACTTTGCTTCCGGGAAAAACCCAGCTGGTTCCACTCATGGGCATCGGGAGTCTCCGGAGCCGATGAGGCCAGCAGAAGCGTGCCTTGCGCCATTTCAGGGTCCCAGGTTTCGGATGCTTCGGGAGCTTCAAAATGGCCTGTGGGGCGGAGCTCTCGCCCGTCTCGACGGAGACATTCCGAGCGGCCTTAGGAGAAGCCAAGCCTCAACCGATGAAGGCCGAGAGAATGGGAAGAGGGCTTGGGGACATAGTTTCAGCCTTTAAGGCTGAAAGGTGGCATCCTTTTCCGTAGTGAAGGACTCCGTGGGTGCCTGGCGGTTCGGGTGCAGGCCTTTCGCTTCCAGGATCGACGAAGCTTCGGGCCAGGGGAGGCAGGGTTGGGAGGCTTCAATCTCGGAAGACTAGACCTGTAAACGTGAAGCTCTACATGTATTATGACAGTCGTTCTTTTATCAACTTCACGTTATGTATATCTTACTCTGCTAAAATCTCCTGTGATACTTTGCTGTGTGAGACGAAGCAAAACTGTACTGTACTGGGCAAGTCTACAGCGCCATAGGCCCTATCATACGCAACCCCCCTACAGAACCCCATTCTATCCATTACGCCTCCTGCCAAGGCCCCAAAATCGTGATCGAAGCCCTAAACACGAGGTTCTCGAGGTTCTAAACCCTTATAAAGAGCCCCTAATCCCCCAAAGCCCCCAAATCCCCTAAACCCCAAAGCTCCTAAATCCCCTAACTCCCCCTAAACCCCTAAACCCCAAAAGAGCCCCTAATCCCCCAAAACTCCTAAATCCCTTAAACCCCCAAAACCCCTAAACAGCCCCTAATCCCCCAAAGGGCCCTTAAACAGCTCCTAATCCACCAAAGAGACCTTAACCCCTAAAACCCTCAAGCCCTTAAACCCTTAAGCCCAAAACCCTTAAAGAACCCCTGAATTCCCCAAAGAGGCCTTAAAGCCAAACGTGAGACCCAGAGACTCCAATATCCCTTAAGTAAGGAATATACCTTAAATTATAGTAGGATGCCTAATATGATCTAAGGTATATTCCTTGACTAAGGGATATTAGGATCCCCTAAACCCTGTAGATCCCTTATAGATCCCTTAAAGGAGCCCTAGGCCCCATTTATTCCTTAATTAAGGGATATTGGAGTTTCTGGGTAGTTTTGGTCCCTAAACCCTAAACCCCAAACCCCAAACCCTAAACCCTAAAGCCTTAATTAAGGGATAGCTGGAGTCTCTGACAAGGTCGGCCGGGCATCTGCGGCAGCGCTCGGGAGATCGCTCCTCGGGGTGCCGGTGGTTTCGTTTCACTTCTCAGCTTTTTTGGGATCTTCAGGGGTTGCTTGGGATTTTTGGGTGTTGTTTAGGATCTCTTTAGGGGTTGCTTAGGATTTTGGGGGTTGTTTAGGATCCAGTGGGCTCTATAATGGGTATATCATAGCTATATTAAGGGTATATACCTAGGGGTCCTTATTAAGGGTTCCTTTTACCCTTGGAGTGTTTCTCTGCGTTGTTTTGGTTTGCATTTGGCTAGTAGGGAATGGAAGAATGGTAGCAATAGTAGTTATAATTGTACCCCATTCCTCCATTCCCTACTAACCAAAGGCAAGTTTTGGGTAAGCAACCTTGCAATCTCAACAGTACTTTTGCCTTGTTTTTTTACGAGAAGGCCACTGAAAGCCCACGAAAAAACGCTTGTGTTACGCTCCTTCATAAATCACATGCCTTCGAAGGAAGCTGACTTCTCTTGACCCTTTCTACAGTCCTGCAAGACCGTGGACGAAGAACACTGAGATTTAGTCGCCTTTTGTTATGGCGGCTTGCAAAAACCAGGCTAAGAATCCCCAAGCTTGCAACCTGATGAAAACCCTAGACCCGAAGCTGTAAACCTTCATCCCTAAACCCTAAGGCATATACTGTCAGCTCTTCGACAAACGGAGCTTTCGGAGTTTTTACATGCATTCCGGCAGGCGAGCGAGATCCGGATCAGTTGAACGACAGGCTTCGAAGATGGATTTCAAGACTCAAAGAAAGCGTTTAGAGGGCTTGGGTAAGTTATGTTTTCGGCAGGTGGTGTGGGCTATGAGAGCTTCTTTGAAAGCTCAGGGGGCAGCGCTATTCGGTAAACCCTAAACCCTAAACCCTAGGAATCTTCCGACCTGATGCTTCCGAGAAGAGTCTTTCTGAATGTGCGAGGGTATGGCACAGCTATTGCTGGAAAACTCATCCAGGGTCTCGTTGTTGGTACAAGGACTGTCATTTGCTACGGTATTGAGTTCTTCTTGCAGTGTTTTTTTTGCAGATGCTGTCGTGGGTGACCACCCTTGTGGCCAGACTCTGGTGACACTGTTTTTTGAGTATACTGTTTAGTCTTCCTCTTACAAGTGACACTGTCTTCTTCCGGGATGTGTACTCCCTTTGCTTCTAAATTACCTTTTGCTTAATCTCTGCACCTGTCCTGAGCTCTCTTCCGCTGTAGGGTCACCGTCGGGTTCTTGGTCAGAGCTTGCTCTGCAAAAAGCTTGAAGCCGGAGGGTTCTATGTGGGCCCAATACAAAGTTCAGTGCTCAGGGTTTACGATGCCGCGCTTAGAGCTTGTTTACTAGAGTGGTTTAGGGTTTAGTGTTACTAGAGGAGCTGAAAAGAGAGTTCAGCGCTTGGAGGTAAGAGGGCGCAGTAGCTAGACTATTCATGTTGGTCCTTTTCTGGGGTTTTCAGGGTGAGATAATTCCGAATTGGTGGTCTTGGTTAAAAGAACTGGAGTCCAAAGGACCTCTTGGAGTTTTCCAGTATATTCGGGTTTGTTTGTTTTGTTCGTTTTAGGATCCTACTTGGAGGCCCTTTTGACTTAGTAACTAGGATTAGTAAGCTGGGTTATGGGGATTATAATAGGGTTTCTAGGGGATACTAAGTAGACTTACTAAGTCAAAAGGGCCTCCAAGTAACCATACAGTGGTCAGACGGAAGGGCGAACTTCAACGGAGATTGGATGCAGGGTTAGCAGTTTAGGGTTTAGGGTTTAGGGTTTAGGGTTTAGGGTTCTGCTAGGGTTTAAATTTTGTTGTAAGGGCGAAGGCTTTACGGCTGCACGTAGGAGTAGAATGCTACATGAATTCAGCACCTGTGCAGACTGATGAGTATGCCCTAAATCCCACAACCACCTAACCCTAAACCCACAAACCCTTCACCCATAAACCCGAAAACTTAACCCCATTAATCCTAAACCGTGAACCCTAAACCCTAAACCCATAAACCCTAAGCCCTCAACCCGAAACAGGGTTAAGCATCCATGTTGTCGGCTCCGCTGTTGCAAAGGTTTCCTAGGGGTTTAGGGTTTAGGGGTTTAGGGCTCAGGGTGTCGGGGTTCAGGGTTTAGGGGTTTACGGTTTAGGGTTTAAGCGGTTATTATGTTAAAGCATCTGGTGTTCCAGCAGACATTTATCTGACATTCCTTTCGCAAGCTCATGTTAACGTGCTTTCGCTCCTCTCCGGAAAAACAAGAACCTCCAAACCCTGAAACACCAGTTCTGCACCTC